AAAGCGAAGAGGCATTGGAATTAGGGATGAATGATTTTTTTACTGCCTCCTGCAGCTGTTTTGCCTCAGTTTTTTTCCTGAATCTTTGGCAGAAGAAAACAGTTTTAATTTGTGCAGCATCCAATAGACGAAAGGCAGAAGCAGGGTCATAGAATAAAACTGGAAGGCGATAGGAATGAGGTGAGGAAATGTGGCCTCGTTGGTCTCATCAAAAGCCTGGCGCGATTTGGAAGACATGAAAGAAATGTCAGAATTATTCATTTGCGAACAGTGGAAAAATTGTCTTGAGAAACATAAAGCTTGGCCAAAGAATTGCAAAAGCCAGGCCAAGTATTGTAGTTAGGATGTTAAATTCTACCTCAGGAACGCGACATTTTACTAGTTTCCTAAATATTCTGGCGGAAAGCATTAAAAAACTTTTCTAGATGCACGGACAAGTGTTAAAAAGAAACTGGTCTAGGTGCAATAATCCTTAAGCGTATCATTTCCAGGCAACTGATAAGGAGGAGGAGGTTAAGAGATTAAGCATCGATTGGCCGAGAATTACGAAAACTGGAACCCACCACATGAGTTGAAAGATGGATGTACAACTGTCTTTATCTGCTATAAGGCTTCACCCCGCTTCATCTCCCCTCTTTCATCGTCCCCCTGCCTGGTACTCAAGCTGTACTTTCCGCGACGTCGGTGGCTCTGATGGTCTTGGTTTTTTTTACTGTTTGAATCTTCAACGTCAGAATTCCTCCATACTTTGCTTTTAAAATGCAAAGGCATTTGAAAGTGCCTGAGATAATACTGTATTGTTAATCGCCGCTGATTGCTCCTCATATTTTCATATAACTTTTTGAAACAATTTATGAATCATTGTTTGCAGCATTTAACGGCGCTCGATGTTTCTTTTTGTCCACGGATTTCAAATGTATCGTTATATGCAATGGTGCAGTATGCAGTTGAGCGAGAAGAAAGAGAGGTAGACATCTGTCTTTTTCAACCACCTACCTATGTCTTGGTTTCTTTGAGCTCCAGTTTTTTAAGATAAAAAATACCCCAGTGACCCAATTTTAGTTTCCACTTGCGCCTGAATCTCGTGTGCGGACACATGAAAGTTTTGGCGGAAAAATCACTAACTCGGAAGTCAGAAAAGCTAGGAAGCTGGAATTTAAGGAGGATATTTCATGCCATGTGCGGCTTTTTTCACATGACATGAAATATCCTCTTAAAATTTGAGCCTAGCGTTCAAGTACGCCTAAGTCTCACGCACGGACATTTAAAGGTGGCTGGAAAGTGTTTGCCATGAAAATCAAGCAAAATGAAAAACTGAGAATTTGGGCTGATGCTTTCTGCCAATGTCTGGTCCTGGAATTGCAAATTCAGTTCTCATGTCTCTTACACCTTATTCGTGAACGCGTGGAACTTCACATTGAGATTTTTAGTTCAGGAACCAGAAAAGACAGTTGAAATTTTCTGAGAAGTACTGTTGCAGCTTGGTTTGAATAGGCAGTCTCCCAGTCTGCACTGGCACCCATTTTCCGTATAATTTTTGGTGTTCGCAGCAGTTAAATATTTTCTTTTTCTACCGAAAAAGCTCACTCTGAACTAGTGCTCTTTCATCGCTGGGTTCGCCTTCATCGATGCCGCTAATCGGAGCTTGTCTTGTTCATGCAGTCCATCATAGGCATTCAAAAAGATTCGTTCTTGGCATTGTAAATCTTCTCAGTGTTCTTTTAACATTATGTGGATATGTGCCCGTCAAAAATCTGTTTTATGCACCTCCTGTGTTTCGGCTTTGTCACATGCACTAGGGTATTAACAGCCAAAAAACTTCTTATATTGCAGGCAGCCTTACCGCAAGCGAAACGCAGCTCAGCCGTACCGCTGTCGGAAGTGGTGACAAAAATGGTGCGGTACGAGCGTAGCGTGGAGGCGCTACTCGATTCCGACTTCGATCACAATTTCTTTCTTTTTGAAAACCTTCGCTATCATTTTGGTAACCCATCAGTTTTCCTTAACAGCTCGTTCTGCGATCTGTATAATTTGCAATGGTATCGCCCGAATCGAGATGGCTTTACGGAACTGTACGCTTGGGTTGGTCATACTGGTGTGACCTATCACAATTCACCGTTGCATCGCTTCTTGAAACTCGAGTACACTGAATCGTTGGCTGAACAAAGTGCATCGGTTTTCGAATTTAGTGTTGTAATTCGAATTCATTAATCTCATAATGCTGAAAAATATGAGCTTCTATAAGTACATTTGAGAAGTTTATATTTTTCAGCGATTTATCTGTTTAATTGTACTTATAGTTTGCTTTTAAGAAAACCGAAAATCACTTGAGGGATTGGTGGGTTTACAATTTTTCACATTTCTTTATGGTTTTGAAAAAATTGGTGGACTGCTAGACTAAAAAGCTTTTTAAATTATCAGCTATTTCGTTTTCTTTATGATGCGTAGTGCTAATTTTTTCATGAGGCAAGTGCGTTTTTGCCTTATTTTTGAGTTCTTTTCATTGAATTAAAGTTGTTTTTAGCCCCCGCAAAGTTGGGCTGCTTGGGGTTCCTTGAAGTTAATCTCAGAATGAAATTTGTCTTATGTATCATTTTTACTTAAGGATGTTTCGATAATTTCGGATTTAATCGCGAAGAGCTCTGAGCAGGGAATCTTTTAAAAGTGAAGGACGTCTTTTTAAAACTTTGGTTCTCGTGTAGCAACATAAATTCCTTGTTTATTTTCCGTCTGTTTTGTAGCAGTTGTATTCGTAGTTTTACTCTAATCGTTTTGGAATTTCAGCGAGGCACACTTTGAGAAGAAGAGGAGTGGGTTGAAGAAAGGGGGATAAGACTTTATTTTTGGCGAAAAAAAGTGGAGACAAGAGCTGCTGTTTCTTTCTACCAACGTTTAGTAGAGAAAAAAATTTAGAATCCCATTCCAAAGTGTTGTCCATTATGATGGGAACAGGAATGCTCAAGTTTGGAGAGGCGGCTGGAATGATAAGATATGCCAAAGAGATAAATTACGCCGAAACGCAGTTAAATAGTCGAAAGTTACGTGCTTTCCCTCTATTATCATATGGTATTAAAAGTTTTCGCACTGTATTTTAATATTTTGTTCTCTTTTTTTTGTAATTTTCCACTTACCATAAGTGTTACTCAAATAAAGCCAATGAAATAAGTTTTTTGGACTATTGGAAACAAACGATGTTTTCAAGCATCAGTTTTCTGATAATATTTTTCGGACATCAGCTCCTGGTCTGAATTTCATTTTGAGGAGATCATCCAGTATTTAGGAGCTAAAAAAAATGTCTTATGACTGTTCGGATACTAGGTTACAGTTACAAATAAATACTTTAACTGTGGCAAGTACTGTGACAGCCGGTGTATCAGTTGCATGCGCTTTTGAGTCGCCGTGTGGTTCTGATGTAAAACCCGCTCATTCAGACATTTCGAGAGGCGAATGCACTTGGAAGTAGCTCAAGTTGTAGCACTTGCAAATGGCAGCTAGACATTGGCAAAAATGGCGCCGGCCTCCCCTTTCAAGAGTTGCTTTTAAGCAGGCTTTCTTTCATGCAGCGGTGCTAGCCTGCGTTCAAAGCGTATGAATGGATTGTTTTGGATTAGTTTTTCCACCGGCATCTTTGGATAGTATTGTATAAAAACAGTTTAATATGCGTGTTCGTGAAATTAGCGTGAATTGTTTAGCGGTATGGGTATTAGGAGGGATAGAAACGATGATCCTCTTAACACTTCAATTCTCTAGCTTTTTTTGTTCTTGATTTATTAAACTTCAAACCGGAGTTTTTATGTGTTTATACATTAGACTCGGAAGTACTAGCGCGTTGGATTTGAGTTTGAAATATTTTGATAATGTGTGAGTAGGGGAAATTCCTTTAAAACTTCAGGCTTCTAACTTTCTTCGTTCCCGAGTTAGCAGTTTTCCCGCTAAAACTTTCATGTAGCCACACATGGCCAGAGAAAATTTTAGCATCAAAGCTTGCCTAGTAGCCGGGTAGAACTACTCGAAAAGGCGAACGTACACAGATGTACACACGTAATGCATACAAATATACATTTTATATATATATAT